TTACAAAAATGGATCTTAATTTTTAAGAAAATCTTTATCAAGTTAAGAGGGTTACCAGGTTTAGCAAATGAATGCAGGAAGCTCAGTTACATTTGAATTTCAGATAAATAGAAAATAATTTTTTTAGTGTAATTATGTTCCATGCAATCGTTGGGACACACATTAAAAAATCATTTGTTGTTCAACTGAAATTCAGATTTAACTGGTGTCCTCTATTTCATCTGGCAGCTCTACAAGCTAATGCTTTAAGCATCTTTTCAGGGTAACCTTGAACCATCAGCTTATTGAGTATCACACACTTAGATATGGTAAAATGATTTTTTTGTTCATATTCAAGAATTTTCTGTGTGCTATTGGAATTCGAATAGAGCCAATAAGTTACATTTTAGTTTTTTTCTTCAAGAGTACAACTTAGGGAAAATTTATGTCACTGACTTCTAAACACAAAATCTAGCAAAATCAGTAGTTCTGTGACAAGCCTTGGATTTTTCAGATTATTGGCAACTCTTGTGTACAAGTTCAAATTATTTAGGGTAAACTTATAATCACTGCTGATCATTTGTATGATCAGAAGATAGGCATTTTGCATCTGAATTTGAAATGTATCATCCCTCTCTGAGTGAATATTGTATATTGGAATCTGTCACAGTTCGTTTTTCATTTGATGTACTTGAGGCACTTAATTTGAAGGTGAAAATTTTATAGTTGGGGTATTACTTATAAGAGAGGTCTTTTACACTATGAAGTAAAAGTCACTAGTGCCAAGTATTTTAAGAACAATTTTTGTATTAATGTCCCATGTCTTCATTAGAAAAATTGAATTGTAGTTTATTGCCTTTGCCTCTCACATTTTTGGGTGGCTCAGTTAGTGGTTTTCAACCTGGTTGCATATTAGAAAACCTGCAGAGAATTTTAACACACTTGCTACTAGGCCTTATGTCCCAAGATTTGTGACTAGATTGGAGCCTGGGAAATTGCTGACTAGATTGGAGCCTGGGAAATTGCATATGTTAAAGCTCACCCAGGTTATTCTAATATGCAGTCAGGGCTGGGAACACAGAGCTAAATAGACTGTGCTGCATGAGGGTGGTGACCAAGTTCCCTCTTTTCTCTTCTCTGGTCCTCTTTTTTTAATTTTTTTTTTTTNCATGAATGCAAATTTACACATTACTGTCTTCAAGGATCTCATAGGCTGGAGAATGCCTATTCTAGACCACCCGCTTTTCATGATTTCCACTCTTCCTTAAATGTCTTTGAGATTATTCTCAGAGGAGTGATGCTTAACCATTTGAGTCATCTTGATGAGAGTGTTGGTTCTACTTTTTCTAGTAAAAGGATTTACAAATAATTTTTAACAGTTTCAAGGAAGCCCAGTTTAAGAATCCCAATCTCCAGGGTTTTTAAAAAAATTTTTTTATAGACTTTATTTTTTAGGGCAGTTTTAGGTTTACAGCAAAACTGAGAGGAAGGTACAGAGATTTCCCATATACTCCCTGCTCCCACACACACATGCATGGCCTCCCTCACTATCAACATCCCCCACCAGAGTGGTACATTTGTTACAATTGATGAACCTACACTGACACATCATTATCACCCAGAGTTCATATTCAAATGTTGTTTATTGCTATCCCTTCAATAAAATTACTTGAGTATGCGTTCTGTGTATATATAATATATGTAATACATAAGCCATATTATATAATCAACATATACATATTGCATGCATGCTGAAAGAATATATATATAAATATAAAAGTATGAATATATACTACTCTATCTATGTGTACATTAACAATATTTACTGAGAAACTGAGAAAGAAAAGAAAAAACTAAAAATAAGTATAATAAAGGTGTAATATTTTCTCATATCCTGGTGGATTGTGTTGTGTGCCATTTGGGGTACATGTATCCCTCTTAGAGATCTCTGGTCTGTGTGTATGCCAACTTTTGACTCTTTAATCTCTATACTAAAGTCTCATTTCCTATGAAAAATTGTGGAAAAGAAGAGTTTTCTCAGGGCTGGCCCGTGGCTCACTTGGGAGAGTGTGGTGCTGATAACACCAAGGCCACGGGTCCAGATCCCTATATAGGGATGGCCGGTTAGCTCACTTGGGAGAGCGTGGTGCTGACAACACCAAGTCAAGGGTTAAGATCCCCTTAACAGCCATCTTTAAAAAAAAAAAAGTTTTCTCAAGAGACTATTCCCCACCTCTTTGGCCTACAGATAAAGTTTACGTTATTTACTGAATTCTTTTTGTACTTCACTATTTATTTTAAAGCCACCTAGTAGATTTAAAGCCAGAATTCCTACATCTCCAGAGCAGGCTAACACTGATGATGAAATAAATGCTGCCCACGCCTGCCCAGCCCCCTTCAATTCCACTCTAATACTCACTTATCTGAGGTTTAACTCCAAAATACAAGATTAGAATGTACTTTTTTTTACCCCATGATTTATTTTATTTTTTATTTTCTGCCTACTAAAACTTTTTATTTTTATTTATTTATTTACTTTTTTTAATTGAAGGATTTGCGTGTTCTAATCCTGGTCAGTGTTGCAATTGGAAAGATATTTTGTACTATCTGCTTTCAATAATTGTTTCTTCATGTTAAGAAGACTGCAGCCATCCTGGTGTGTCTTGTTTTCATTCCCTTTTCTCCAAAGGATGCCGATCTGTTGGATGTTGAAAGCAAACACTTTGAGGACCTGGAATTCCAACAGCTGGAACATGAGAGCCGTTTGGATGAGGAAAAGGAGAACTTGACCCAACAGCTCCTGCGTGAAGTGGCTGAATATCAAAGGAACATTGTGACTAGAAAGGTACCTTTGCCAAGTGATATTCAATGTGAAAAGTCAAAATATACTACTTCCTTTGGGACAATAATGATCATTAATACAGCTATGGCACAGTCTGTCTGTATATATATCTTTATATGCGAATGAATGTCTTTATGCGTCTAATCACATATCACATTTGGCAGACTATGGAGCCTGCTATGTATGTAGCAAATGGTGTTCCCAACTAGACGAATTGAGATGTGTTACAGTCCTTGTTACATAATACTGTAGATGCATTTATGAATAATACCTTGTTTTTTCATTTACGTGAAAACTAAGGCATAAAAAATCAGGAATTCAGATATTTGTTTTAAATTACTTCTTTCTGCAATCATAATAACTAGATTGAGAATAATTCTATGAACAAAGTCTATTTTGAAATTATTTGTTTCCATTGCTCAATAGTTCTCAAAGCCAGCTGATGGCTTATTACCATTAAAAATAGCCCAGTGGAATGAAATGCAGATTACTACTGACTCCATCCAACCTCTAGCATCTAGATTTTCAGCCCAGAATTCAGCTCTTGTTCCAGAATTTGGAATCACACTCCAGGGCTTTGTACTAAACCGATAAAGTTGGGGGCAGGAAAGACAGAGAAAGTGACTTCTTAAAATCTCAGTTTAGATAAGAAATTCCATTGTTGCTTTTTCCCATTAGGCATCTCCCAAAATGATATCAAAAATTCATTGATAGTTTAAAACAAGATTTCCTGTTGACTTCTAGGTTCTCCAAAACAGATTTTAAATCATTTGAAATATGTTGGCCTTAAGTAAAGTGTTGAGCTTGGCAGGTCAAAGAAAATGCCCCGTAGTTCCTGGGTAATAATCACTGCCCACCAGACTAAAATGTGGTCACTGTTACTGCAGTTGTAAAAACCTTTTCTCCCTTTTCTCCCTTTTCCAGGACAGATTAGCAAACCTTTAAATGTCTAATGCGTATCTCTCCATGATAATCTTTTTTCCTCCAGGAAAAAATTTCTGCATTAAAAAAGCAAGCCAATCACATTGTTCAGCAGGCTCAGAGAGAACAAGATCATTTTGTGAAAGAAAAGAATAATTTAATAATGATGCTACAAAGAGTAAGTATTTCTTTTTCAGCACTGGCTGACAATAAAACAGGTTCCATCTTGGGGAAAGTTTCCTCCTTTAAAGTAAATGCCTTTTCATAGTGAATGCTTTATAATTTAAGGAAGACTTTTGTATATTTTTTAATTTAATCCTTCACATTTATAAGCTAATACTCTGTGAACGATTAAATACAATTCAGAAAATAAGCAAGGATGTTTTCTTCATGTTTTTTCCACATTGTGAAAATCCAAACTATGGAAAAATCTGTATTTTTTTTCTTTTTTTAATTTTCCTCTTTTTTAAAACATTATTTTTTCATCAAATAGTTAAAATATATTCTAACATCAATTTAGAGTAGGCTTAAGGAAAAATGCTCTTTCATACTGCTGTCAAATATTTTGGCCCAGATCCTCTGGTGTTTTGAACTCCAGTTATATGTGTGTGGGTCTTCCTGGCAAATGTTACACTGGATTTAATTTGACTTAATTGGATAGGTAGACAATCCATGTGGTATATGTAGAGGGGTGGCAAGATCATTCTCATCAAAATGTCTATGTCCTCATCTGTCCCAGCACCTAAGTGAGTATGTGTAAAGGGATTCCTCTGCCCAAAGACAATAGAAAACAACCTGTATCCTAACCTTCTCACATGATCCTTTTTGTAATTGCAGGGATAAGTCAGCAAATGTTAAAGCTGATGGGGCTGGTCTCAGGTCTGAGTCCTGCATGCATTGCAGTCCACTACCTAGGAATATGACACTTGGGATCATGAAAATATGCGATGGGCCCAGAATGGGTGAAGGAGAAAGATCAAATCTAGAATGAAGGATTAAAGGATAAGGCTGTACCATGGTTCCACCTAGGAGAAATGAGTATTCCCTTCTAGATATTTTTAGGTGAAGAAGAGAGAGGCAATAGTCCTTCACGTAGAATTATGAGTCCACTTGAGGTGCACTGCAGCCCACACAGAACCCTGACACCTGCCTTTCTGCTACTGTTACAGCACCAAGTGGAGTTGTATTTTCCATCCCTACCCCTGCCTTTGGGATGAATTCTCTTGCTGTCATCTCCCCAACACCATTTTACCCTTTGCACACAATACTGAAAGCCACAGCTTAAATTAGATAGTGTAATATGTAGTACTTAAGTAGTTTTTGGAATTTTTTTTTTTTTTTTTTTTTAAAGATGACCGGTAAGGGGATCTTAACCCTTGACTTGGTGTTGTCAGCACCACGCTCAGCCAGTGAGC